TATCTATTCTCTTTATTAAGTAATATAAGCTTAGTAAGTAAGATTCTAATCTTTTTAGCTATTACTTTTATTTTTAGATAGCTTATAATCTATACCTAATTTCTTTCTAAAAGGTAGTTAGTAAAAAAATAGGCTAAGATAAGCTAGTAGAAAACTTTAAGTAGAAAGGTAATATTATTATAAAGAACTTTAAGTAGCTATTCTTTAATAATAAAAAACTTAAAAAGATTATTAAAGAATTTTTTAAGATATACTATTACTACTTCTAATATATTAATAGTAATAAGAACTTTAGCTAGCTTTATATTATATACTATTCTTTTATTTAATAAGCTATCTATACTAACTTTTATTACTAGATACTCTACTTAGTACTTTATAAAGAATATACTATAGTTTCTTACTCTTACTACGCTAAGTATACTATACTAGGTAATAAGACGTTTTTCTACTATATTAATCTTAATCTATTATTTATCTACGCTTAAGGTTAAGGTATAAATATAATCTAAGAATTAGTTTTAATTAATAATAAGAACTCTTAGAACTATATAAAGGTCTTAGAGGGCTTCTATTAATATATAAAGCTATACTTATAATAGCGTAAGACTACTAAGAAGAATTCTACTAGCTTTATTAAAGAATAGTATAATAATATTAATTAGATATAAGAAGCTTAAGTAATAGCGCTAGATATAAAGTAGAAGAAGTTTATTTATAGAGAAGAAAACGTTTATATTACTTACTTTATAATACTCTATAGCTTTATAAAACTAGTAACTAAGATTTATTAAATAATTCTTTTATAGTATATTATAGTATACTAAAGCGTTATAAAGATTCTAGCTATAGAAACGTATAATAAGATCTTAAAAGCTTATTATAATCTTATAGCCTTTTTTATAATACTATCTAGATATTATAATAAGTATAGTAGTATTAAGTAGATATTTCTAGTAGATATATATATTAACTTCTTTTTCTAGATCTAAAAAGCTATTCTTATATAAGTCTTCTAGAATAACTCTCTTATATATAAGAAGATCTATAACTTTCTTAGTAAGAATAAAAATAGTATTCTAGAGTATATTTAAAAAGAGTATAAGTATATTATAGAAGAGATTAAAGTACTATAGCTAGTAGTTAAGAAGCTTAAAAAGGCTACTTTTACTAAGAGTACTAATAGTAAATATTTAAATATTTTTTTCTTTACTAATAAGAGTATACTTTTTTCTTATAAGAGATAGTAGTATATTTAGAATTATAATTATAGTATAAAAGATACTATTAAACATCTTATTAATAAAATTAATATAGAACTAAATATTTATTACTACTTTTATAACGCTACTAACCTTAATACTATACTTACTTCTTTTTTTCTATTTAAGACTTCTTAGGCTTATACTAGTAGTCTAGCGTTTAGTTTATTATTACTCTTTAGCTTTTTACGCTCTTTAATAATATTACTACTACTAGTTCTACTACTTTCTTTTTAGTTTAAGATACTAATACTAGCTCTATTAGCTTTTTCTACTAGCCTATTTAAGCTACGTTATAGTAAATAAAATATAAAGTAGACTAGACGTACTAGTAATATTACTAGTACTTAGATTTTAAGTAAGCTTTTTATTTTACCTAAAATCTAACTACTATTTATACTATAGTAGTATATTACTAATATCTCTACTTAATTATTTATTTTACTTTTTACTTTCTTTTTTATATTTTTTCTTTATCTTTTCTTTATACTATAAGTAAGTAATATATTCTAGATAGTATAATAGAACTATACTACTAGAAAGAGAAGGTTTATACTAGTATATAAAGTATTTTTATATAAATTAAATCTTTAATAATCTAAGAATTACTTAGAAAGAGAATATCTTTTAATAAGAGCTCTTTAGAATTATCTTATTATTTACTATTTTATTTTTTACTTATACTTTTTAGTATTAGACTCTTATATAATACTTTAGATATTAGAATTTTTTTATAATAGAACTCTTTTCTACTAAACTAATATTTATATACTTTCTTACTTATATTAATTATCTTATATTCTTATAGTAATATATCTTTATACTCTCTAATATCTATACACTACTACTATAAAGGCTTTTAATATATAGACTAAAACCTTTTATAGTTTTTTATTATAGCTAAGTCTTTAAGTAACTTACTAGTAATATATAAAAGTTTTTTTATAAGCTATACTTACTTTAAAAAAAGTAATAGAATAGTTATTATATTACTAGTATTACTTTTTCTATCTAGAGTAATCTATTAATTATCTACGCTATTTATACTTATAACTTTATATATAAGCTTAAGCTATAGATAGCTCTATTTATAGAGATAAAAGTAGCTATTATATACTAGTATAAAGCGTTTATTAGAATTTTTAGCTAAAGTAGTAATAAATAAACTAAAGAGAATAAAGCGTTTAAGGCCTACTTCTAGTATAATAATACTATTAAATAGATAGTAGCTATATTAGCGTTTTACTATTATAGTTACTTTTAAGAACTAAGCTATAATAAAGTAGTTATCTTTATTAGCTACTTAGCGTCTTAAGTTATATTATATTAATAGCTAATAATATAGGTATTACTTAATATAAAGTTTCTCTTTTTAGTAAGGCTTTAAAAGTAATATATTATTAGTTTATATAGAAGCCTTAGTGCTAATAGTAATATACCTAAATATATTAAAATTTTAAAATCTCTTAGTAGTTTTAGAATAACTTTAAAAGCTAAGTATCTTTTAATATCTTTTTACTAAATAGAGTCTATAAAATTAAATATAAGGTACTATTTTTTTTTAACTTATATTTATATATAGTAATTTTATTTTATAGTTACTATTTACTTTACTTTATAGTACTATAATAATATAAAGTAAAATAAGCTACTTATAACTTTTATAATATTAATAACTTTAATAAAAAGATACTTTTATAAATAAGAGAAATCGCAAGTATAATACACTATTAGTTCTTCCTTGCCTGACGCATTATACAAACAGCTTGAGTCTGTCTTTCATTCCTCTTACTCATGAAGCCCACCGCTCTACTATCCTCTGTTAATCTTGACATCCCTGGAGCCACTACTTCTTCAAGCAAATTTGAGCCTCTCCTGGATCCCGTGAACCGAACAACAGCCCCGTCGGTGTACTGCTTCGGCCCCCAAAGCCAAGACAACACCTCGCTTCCTGCGACCAGCTCTCGTCAATTCGAACCGTTTTCAGCTTCACCCCATGTACAGACAAGATTGAAAAATTCTCCGCAGACATACCGAGCGGCTGCTGAACAAGTGACGGTTGCTGTCACAAGGCTGCAAACTGCGGCTGACTCGAATGGCTTTTTCCATTGGCCGGAAATTACTCCCAAGCAACGGAAGGCTTTCGCTAGTGTAAACGGTGTGCTACAACGTCCTTGACTTCATCCCCAAATGCAGAACGTTGTGCAGGTCGCGGTGCGCCTTCGGTGGAAGTCGTGCTATTGAGGGATGGCAATTCGGCGACCATCTCATACGGCATATCATAAAGAGCATCACGGCAGTTCAAACATGTGCTTGATTCCTCCCATTCTCTAGCAGTCATCTCCAAATTATCCTATCCTGAGCTTTTACCGTTCTTCTTCGGCAACAAACAGTCGAGCTTTCCCAAGATGACTATACGACACCGCCAACTCTTCACCCTGGCACTCATCGGAGCCTGTCTTACATTCGCAGCAGATGCATTCCCGACCGACCTGCACATGTCGAGCCCCGAGCCACGCGACCTCGTAACCACAGACGCGAAGAACCTCAGAGAGCACATCGAAGTTTACGGCATACCGTATGGAGTCCTCGGCGCAGTGTCCCATGGCCTAACCTTCTATGTGATCCTCTGTCACTTCTTCGGCAGAAGACCTTTGCTCCCGTGGATGGCTTTGGAAAATGAACGTTGGAATATCGCGGTGGTCACAATCTCATCGCTCATCTCGATCATCCTTTCTGGCGTTACGATGGCTCGCACAAAGGGCTCCCGTCCCCTGCTCATACTTGCGGGAATGCAAATCGTCCTCCATGCTCTGATAGATATCATCCACATACATCGCATGTGCGTTGGACATCCTGGTTGGAGTAATTCGACATCCTTTTGGGGGATACCTCTCGTAGTGGTGTCGTGCTTCTCCATATATGCCTTTTACGAGTTTCCCTGTAAGTTGCGCTGATTTCATCCGTGTGCAAGGTAGACTGACACCCACTCCACAGTCGAAGAAGGCGATGGCGATGTCGGAAGCCTTTTCGGTACTGCCATCTTTATCGTTCTACTTGTGTGGATTGGCTTGACTGGATTGAAAACCTTGCTCGGCATCTTGATATGCATTATGTACAAGTTCAAGAATTGTGCGACATTTGGTGTTGCGGCGGTCCTGCTCAGCTGCGGCCTCTTTTGGTTTGGCGATTTCGGCATGGCCATCGTGAGCAAGAGTACGCTGGGTACGCCGTCAAAGCAAGTCGCGGCACTGTATTACACGTACTGGGTTGTGGAGAGGCTCCCACTACTCACATTCTAAGAAACATGTCGGCGCGACGATGGCTATTACAAATAATGTACTTGTAGCATTCGTTGGTATTCAAGATGCGTTCTGTTTAACCTAGCACTAGGTGTAACGCTATGTCGGAACCGGCTCGCTCTTGCGGCTTCGAAATCTGTTCCGCACTAGTACGCGACGGAGTGGTGACATCAACGAACATGCGTCAGTGCCTCCTGCATCTTCACGCTATCTCGACAGTCAACTCTCCCGTGGCAGTTTCCTGGCAAGATCGATCGCGGGGCGATCGCGGCAAAAATGGAAGTGGATCCCCTCATACCCATGCGCGCTAGGGCCTCGGTATCATATGACGGACCATCTTCGCCGTACATCGTGTAATGATTATCTCTTGTCGAATATCTGAGTGTTTGACGGTATCGACGTCGTTCACCTGTGTTTCTCTCTCATTTACTTGAATATGGCTATTCCAAATCTGTTCCAGAGGCGAACAGCCAACACTAAAGAGTAAGTCCAGAAGCGGAAGACAATGGATGGCGCACACTAACCGCTATCAGCTGCTGGGGATACCGATTCGAATGGACGCCTGAACATCTTACACCGGAGCAAATGAAGCCTATGAAGTTTTCGTACGATGTACTAGCAGAGGAATGTCTTGATCGTTTGAACGCCATCTCGCCACCGCACAAGGGTGCTCTGCCAAGGAACGATAGCAACCGCGCCGCGCTATCATCAGTTCCGGGCACCGAAGAAGAGAAAAAAGAGCCATTGCCAGTACCCAAGAGGGATCTTTACGCCTTGCTGGAAGAAAATCACAACTCCGATCCTAAGCTTGCGGAACTATGGCGCGAAGTGCACACGGTGCCGGACTGGGTAGACTGGGAACAGATCGCCAGAGGACAGGATGTGTTCTATCGCTATGGCGGACCCGCCTTGACTGGCCTCACTTTTCAGTCACTTTTAGGTGGCATGGGCGCTGCGCGAGTAGTGGAGACGTTAGCAAGAACTGGAGGCTTCAGCACAAAGGTAGCAAGAGGCAGACTCTTTGAAACTACACAGCACATTCTCCAATGCACGCGAACACTGGATGGACTCAAACCGGGTGGAGAAGGTTTCGCCTCATCGATACGCGTCCGCTTCCTACACGCCGCAGTCCGGCAGCGCATCATGAAACTCGCAAAAGAACGCCCAAGCTACTTTAACGTGGAAGAATGGGGAATACCAATTAATGACCTGGACCAGATCGCAACGATCGGAACTTTCTCCTCAACCTTGATCTACCTCAGCTTCCCCCGCCAAGGCATCTTCCTCCGCAAACAAGAAATCGACGACTATCTAGCCCTATGGCGCTATATCGGCTACCTCATGGGCACACCCGATGAGTGGCTATCCACCCCAACCAAAGCCAAAGCCATCATGGAATCGCTCCTCTATCACGAAGTCGACCCCTCGGAAATGTCCAAAACAATGGCCAACAACATCATTTATGCGCTCAAAGAAGAACCCCCAACTTTCTCTTCAGCAGACATGCTAACCGCCAGCGCCCGCTGGCTAAATGGCAACGCCCTTTGCGACCGTCTCGGATTAAAACGCGTTTCCGCGTACTACTGGTCCCTCATGGCAGGCCAATGTCTCTTCTTCATCTTCTACTGCTACACGTATCGCCTGTTTCCCAATGCAGACCGCAGGAGAATCGACCGCGCGAAAGAGATCTTCTGGACGTTGATAGTGAAGGCAAAGTGGGGATTGGCGGGGACAGAAACGTCGTTTGACTTCAAGTACGTGCCGCAGTATGATACGTTGACGCATTTGGGAAATATTGGGGAGAGAAAGAAAGTGGCGTTGAGCAATGAGATGAGGAACTTGAAGGCGTTGGGGATTGGAGTGGGGGTTTTGGCGGTGGGGACGTTGGTTGCGGTTAAGATTGCGGTCAGGGTTGTTGGAACATTGTGGTAGATGTTCTTGTAGAGGGCTTGTATGATATTGATATGATGGGCTAAGGGCTCTGTTATTAGACTCGAGGTTCGACGAATATACCCAGGTGAAGTTACTGGTTACTTCTGTCTTGCCTCACCTTCTCATCCAGCTTTATTACAGTAAGAGGTTCACTCACCCTCAAGTTGTTGCGTAAGGTCACCGCCGTTGTACACGCACAAGCAACCTCCACTGGCCATGGCCTCATCAAATATAAGTTCACGTCTTCGTCTCTATCTTCTGTCCTTACTAATCTCGATCACAATAACAACACAACTTCAGTGTGAGCTCACACTTGGCACAATCTAACACATACCGACACCAAAATGGCAAAACGCAAGTGTCCCCGAAACCCAGAACAAGACGGTGTATGCGGCTGCCCTTCATTCTGGAGGTACCTGAAAGCCAGTGCCGCGCCCAACAACAAGACCATGTCTTCCCCACCTACCAAGTCTTCGTCCCCAATTCTTGTCATCATTGAGAGTGAACGTGACGAAGACAAAGACTTGCATCACCGGAAGCGACAGAAACGCGAAGACAGTGTAATCACACAGACTGGTGTGATTGGCCTCTCAGCATCAGAGTCTCAGGCGTACATGGCCAGCAAGTATGTGGCCGGAGAGTCCGATAGGAAGATACAACATGTTATGGAGGCGGCGCGGCGCGCGCAGAAGAGTCGCCGGGCGGAGAAGGAAAAAGCGAAACCAATCAGACCGGTGCAGATTCTGGTCGACTATAGCTTACCTACTGGTTCTGAGAGGCTGGATTGGGACACGGACGAAGTTCGTCGGATGGTCGGGGAGATTGCTTGATGGAGGCTGTGGTGAATGGAATTGGACCACGGCGACGGGTATGGAAGATTCATCGGAATGGGTGCGGTAGCAAAGGTCATGAAACAACAATTCATATACATTCTAGTATGTGGGTATAGGTACTGCCTAGCGGAGATTTTGCGAAGGGTATGCAAGGATATGAGAGTCGTAAACATTGCGAGTATGTTCAGTTGTCACCAAACGTACGGCTAAGCCGATGTCAGTAATTGATCCGCGGGTGGGGTGTGAGGGACTGACCTTATTCTCATACGTCCAGAAAGTGCCGCTGTGCTGTATGCCTTTGCTCTTGATCACTTCGATCATCTTCATCACTGACTCCTCTGGTGTGATTATGCCCTGGACTTCCCACGGTAGCTGAACGTTCGCCATGTCTGTTGCGACTTCTCCCGGGTGCATGCACAAGATGATGGTATCATCGTCTTTTCTCTTCAACTCGGCGGCCATGTGCCTTACTGCCATATTGAGTGCAGCTTTTGACGCAGCATATGCAGCGAACCCGTCCTCCATCTCCCGGAAGTTACCTTGCGAGCCCGAGTCGCTAGACATGAAGACAATGGTGCCAATTGGTATGTTTGTTTTCAGCAACTTTTGCGCTGTGATGATGGGCCCAATGGTGTTGGTATGCAAATGGAAGGCAAACTCGTCGAAAGACCTAGAAAATATTAATTTCCAGTACTTCAGCCACTTCAGATTGATTGTCGTTTATTGGAAATGCACGCTTTAGCCATAACCAGCAAGGCGTAACGGTAACGGTAAAGGGAGACTCACAGCTCAGTGGCCCTCTACATCGGTTAGTGCGGCTCCCTTGCATGCTGGCGACAATGTCGGACTTACGTTTGGGTATCTTAGCACTCCTGCGTTTAGTACGACGTAGTCTATCTTCAGGTTCGGTATCATGGCCAGTTGCGCAACGAATTTCTGCGGATGGCCAGTTAGTTTCCCTCTGGAAAGACAAGGCCATCTTCAACAGCACACACCTCTATGCTTTGCTCTGACAATATGTCGCATGTGTACATTTGGCATCGGCCATGATCGCTCCCCGCTTGTCCCCACAGACCGCTGGCATGACCGGCCCAAGGCTCCCGCACAGTAGCGATGATGCGCTCATTCTTAGTTAACAGCTGTCTGACAAACTCTAGCCCTATGCCTCTGCTGGCGCCGAGTATCAGCCATGTGGTAAAGTCCTCATCGGCGTATAGAATGCCCGGAATCTGGTCCATCCGGTCGGTCGAGGTGTGGCGGGGCACGATGATGTCAACCGTCGAGCTGGGGCTGAAGTGCGACTGACCAACACTAGAAGGCTGTTTGCAAAGAGGGCAGAATAGTGTCGATCCTGGCCGGCGCTTGAAATAGTAATGTGCTGCTGTGCAGATAACAGAGAACGTTATTCATGACCCTGGCCCGTCATGTTAGGGAACCAGGTGCGTGGAGGTGCGCGGGTTAGTGGGCATGTCACATCGATTTGCGGACCCTTGTACAGGCTTCACATATCGAATTCGGGCCAGGGAAAGCAGGGAAGAAGCGTCCTGCAGGGCAACGAAATAGGCCAGACGCTGCTTATTCTACCACCGGAGGAAAGAAGAGCGAAATTCTTCACGATGATTGACGGCAGCAAAAATGCTAGAAAGACTCGCAGCAGCCAACGCAGCACTTGGTGACGGCATCATTCCGCAAGCTCCATGCAAGATTGCCGAGTATGTTGCGAGATAGCCTGGGGAGTCAGGAGTCGCAATCGACGGCGTGGCGTGAAAGTAGCGACGGCAAGTTGGCTGAGGAACAGAGACCTGATGCGGCGAGTGCACCGCCATTTGATCGCGATTCCTGTTTGCCATCCCGGACCGGTTCCACCCGAGCACTTTTTGCTACTGAGTTATACCTGCCGCCTGATTGGCCAGTCCCGTGACCCGTGCTCGCGTCAGGGCCCTGGGCCCGTCATTTCGTTGCGGCTAACGGCAAGATTCTTAAAACTCTCTCAAGCCTCTCAACTCCTACTTGGCCATCTTTTCTCTCTCACAGCCTCTCAGTCACGACTAAAGTTACCTTAACTTTCACCACTTCACTTCCACCAACACTTAATCTTACCCCAACCCCCACCACATCTTCAAAATGGGTTTCGAGCAGGGTACGTTTTCTTGACACCGGTTAGACGTCATCGGCCGTCTGTCACTTTGTCGACCATCGTCTGCTATCCATTGAGCCTGCGCGCATATCGATATCCGACTCCTATGAGGGATCAATTATTCCCGGTGTACCGACCGAATAATTGACAACTCAAGAAGCGGTGAGCGCAAGGTGGCAGCTTTGCGACAAAGGGCGGACGGTGGCGGATTGTTTGGCTGGGCACAGAAATTTTGTCACCTTACATATAGCTAACACTTTCTTCAGGCGATGCTAAGAAGGGTGCCAACCTCTTCAAGGTACGAACACACCGAGCCAGCCTCAGCGCCATCGACCACGCCTCCCGAACGTAGTCTAACGAACCTCCAGACCCGCTGCGCTCAGTGCCACACCCTGAAGGAGGGCGAGGGCAACAAGATCGGCCCCAACCTACACGGTCTCTTCGGCCGCAAGTCTGGCCAGGTTGAGGGTTTCTCATACACCGACGCCAACAAGCAGAAGGGTGTCGAGTGGGGCAACGAGACTCTCGTACGTTACATCACAAGAAGACGCTTATGTGGTGGGCATGCATGCTGACGAAGCGCAGTTCGAGTACCTCGAGAACCCCAAGAAGTACATTCCCGGAACCAAGATGGCTTTCGGTGGTCTCAAGAAGCCCAAGGACCGCAACGACTTGATCACCTTCCTCCAGAACGAGACCAAATAAGCGTATCACCTCTCGAACGTTTATACCATCCTATCGACACGCCATGACCTTTCTATAATACCTTTTCGACCCAAAAACTGTTTGGATTGTACCATCATCGATGATAGACGAACGACGGAGGCGGTGAGCGCAGTTAGACCGCAATACCCCTTCATGTAGATTATGTTAGGTGTATCATTTCAAGGCGCTTTTCGACTTGGGTGCGGCATAGAGCCTGTTTGGACTTAGTTGCACTTTCGGAATACCAAATCTCCTCTACCGATCATTCAATACGCTCATCATCTTCCGTGAACAAGTAGCCAACATCGTGCAACCCATAGTGAATCATTTCGATTTACTTCCAGAGACGGCAGAGTTGGTCAAAGCATCGGTTTCTTATCTCAGACCTCAGACATCCAGCTGATTGATGATGAGCCAATTGCATACATCGCAAATTTTCTGACACGTTGAGCGGCATTTCCACAAAATGTCCAGACTAGAAGAATAGTCTAGTGCTAGCCTCTAGGGAGCGACTCACGCGAGCAGCGAGCACCTTGCATCCTCGGACCTGAGGAACATGCAGCCAGGAACATGCGCTCTACCGGTGCTTTCTCCGACAGCTAACCGAGGATAGTGTGGCTGGAGCTCGTGGATGCTTGCGGAAGACTTGCAATGGCAACAACTCGTTTCGCTAGACAGCGTGGGTAGTAAAAGCAATGGAGACTCCAAAAACTAGACACATTGTGTCTCGTCAGCTGCGGGATGCCAGTAGTTAAAGCGTGAGGCTTCGTGGCGCCTTTTCCACATCATCTCCACGTGAAAGCAGGTCAAGTGTGGGGGAAGCGCAGGTGCTCGTCGCAGTGGTGTCATCGCCGGAAGACTCCGTGTACATCAGCCATCTAGTCTGTGTCATAGGGCACACGAGCACATGCGTCTCTCTTCCACTTCACTCTTCTCTTTCTCAAATCGCTCCCCAGCATCCAGACGCGCCGTTACCTCGGCCTGTAGCAGCGAGACCAATTAGCGTCATAGTGGGGCGGGAACTGTGCTTCGGGTAGCTCGACAGTGAACACCACCATCACCAGCACCACTTTGGCGAATACGCAGCGACAAAGGCCGTTTCGGCCTGTACAATTGGCATCATGTCGTGGAAACGGAGCGAGAGGCTGATGGACACCATCAAGGTGGGCGAGCCTGTCGCACAGTCGCGGTTGTAGCTAACATTGGGATAGCACTACAGCAACTTTCCAGCAACCGGTATGCAACACGCATGGTCACTTACAGTATTCGTCTGACATGCCACCAGGTGTCTCCTTACGGCAAATGGTACAATTTGGAGAGAAGCCATCTACGGGAACCCTCTTCCGCGCGTCACAATTCCTTTCTGAAGAACTGCCCATACGGTTAGCCCACCGAGTGGAGGAGCTCAACGAACTTCCAGATGGCCTCAATGAGATGCCGTCGATCCAAAGAGTGCGCGACTGGTATGCGCAGTCATTCGAAGTGTGTATTGCTAAGGTTCTCGCTGGAGCGCGTTGACTCATCTGACAGGAACTCGTCGAACTGCCCCGGCCGACCCTCTCGAGCGAGGTCAAGGAGCGACTCCTCAAACCAGCGAAGAAAGCCGGCGACAAGAACCTGATGAGCAAGCCGACGCAGAACCCCAGCATCAAAACGGGACAATACCGGTCCGCGCCGACGACGAACGGTAACGGCAACGGCAATGGCAACGGAAACGGCGGCACGATCACAAAAGAAGTGAAAGGCGCGAGCCGGAGATACTATGCCGCGGCAGACGACGGACAGGAATGGCCGCCAGAGCTGGGCGCATACAACACAAAGTTTGCAGACACATTGGAGAAGATCAAGAGGCGGCACGACAGCGTCGTTACGACGGTCGCACAAGGCATTCTCGAATGGAAGCGCAAGAGGCAAAGGATGCAGATCGACCACAACATCCAAGCCTTCCTCGACCGTTTCTACATGTCGCGTATCGGTATCCGTATGCTCATCGGCCAGCACATCGCTCTCACGGACCAACGCTCGCGAAACGATCCCAACTACGTCGGTATAATCTGCACAAAGACCAATGTCCAAGAACTGGCTCAGGAGGCTATTGAGAATGCGCGCTTCGTTTGCGAGGACCACTATGGGCTCTTCGATGCGCCAAAGGTCC